AAATACTAAATCATGGTTATATGGACTGGAAATGGGTTTGTATTTAATTTCTACTGTTCTATTTTCATATAAAACGTGTTTGTTGCAGGATGTTTATGCACTCTGTATAAGGTGTTGACTGCATATTTACTGTTGTACATTAGTTGCACGTGGCGTAGCATTGTACTATATTGTTATATTGCCGCGATGAAGACGCTAACATACTCCACTCCTGCTGTAGTGGTTGTAGTCTAGTCAGTCGGATGTATGAGTAACCAGACGCTTCCTCAGCGCCCTGGTTGTGCCCCATCAGGGGAGGGGGGTAATTTAATAAGTTTCAGTTGGGCCTCCCTTCCGGATAAATTGAGTTTCCGTGAAATATTTGTATTGTATTTGGAGTGATAACCAGGACACACTCTATGAGTAGGATTCTATTTTTTGTTTGTTTAAATTAATTCTGAATTTATGTACCTTAAAAATTATTGCCTAATTTACTATGTAAATTAGGTATACAATTACAATGAACTAAACGAGAATCATTATTCATGAATAAAACGGACAATCTTGTAAATAATGATAATGGACCATTTAAAAATGGAACATTACTAAATTCAACATTTACAAAGTTATAAGTTAAACTTACTTCAGAGATATGTATTTTTTTATTTTACCTAAATTTACTTGACGAAATAATCTTTTTCATAGTTATTTTAAGTACCGACATGTTTAATTTTTTTTTAATGTATCATTGTAAACATAACCTTCATTTGTTGTGATGTGTCTGATGATGCTATCATAGCTGGCGAAACGCCTTATAAAAAAATTATAAAATATCGGTGAAGCTTTTTATTTTAATATTTTATTATTTTCTATGTTTGATAGTCTATTGTTATCACCTTTCATACTAAATAAGGTTCAATCAAATTGTATATGCTCCTTCATTATAACAAATTTACTTAAAAGTAAATAACATGTTGCATTAAATCTGCACTGTTTTATGCATTTTAACTTGATTTAATAGGGCAATTGAAAGTCACAAAAAGTTATGTCGATTGATTTGAGTAGGGATATGCAACTGTTTAAAAAAATAAGTTTTTGTTTAATGTTACAAACTCGTTCTAAATTAATCGTATGCTTGATCTGGATTCAGTTAGCAATCTTCCAAAGCCTCGACCACACAGAATAATAGGCGACGGTGATGTTGGGAGCCGCAAATTGCTTGCAGCAGATTAACGCCACCTGAGACCGGAGGCGGCGCTGCGGCTCGACAGGGTTGCTTATAATTGTTCCTGTGGGTCACAGGGTAGGCTTTCAGAGACAGGGCGGAACAATACAATACAGGTTACTGGATACTGTTAAAATGCGCGATAAAAGATTTCCGGAAAAAGAAGATTTTTAAAAGATTCTTTTCTTTTATAATCCAAAACAAGATAGGGGTTAGTTCTCTTTATTTGTATATTAACTCTAAATCTTTTACTGACTAATCTAGTCACTAGAGTAAACATAAGATCAAATCCAAACACATACCTGGAACTGTTTTAGGTCCCAATTTAGTTTCAACTGTGGTATTTTATAATTTATTTAATAAATTAGTGTTTAGTACGCCTATTATGTTCATTATTAATTTAATACTTGCAAAATTCCTTATGACACAAACTTGTATATGATTTTACTTCATATTAATTTATTTCCTAACAAACCTCTCATGTTCACGATTTATATCCAGGTAATTTCCCATCAATCTTTTTACCTGCTTTGATATTACAGTATAGTTCCGCTGTGCCCTAAATTTGGTAGTATATTTATTTCCTACCAATACAATCCTTTTGGTAGATATTTAGGAAAACGGGATGTGCTTAGTCACTCCACTCTACAAAACCCAGATATGACAGTTAGTATTAGTTATAAGTACTGTAGGTGATATCCGTCGAAATCGTCCGTTACTATTGAGATTTCACGCCAATTTAGCTAATCAATTACAATAGATGAAGTGAAATTATTAATGTATATAACATTTAACCTTATTTGATAAGCAAAAAAGTAATAATAATATAATCTTAGTACTGCACCTTTTAAAATATGATTGATTACTTGGTTGAATGAAATTTTTCTGGTTATTTAAAGATTGCCCAAGATTTGAGTAATCTCTGGGTTTTCTGGATCCACGAGTGTTTGTTTATGTTCATGGTTATCCTACTAATATTAAAATGAGCATGTTTGGATGTATGGATGTATGGATGGATGTATGGATGTATGGATGTATGTTTGTGACAAGTGAACGCGAAAAATACTGGTCGGATTGGGCTGAAATTTGGCATGATGATAGCTCACATTCCCGATTAACATATAGGCATATTCTTATTTCAAAAATCCTTTCGGGCTCCGCCCCAGTGGCTCTGGAGTTTCCCATGTTAACCTTATGAGAAATGAAATTATTGAATCTTAACAGCTGTTTCAATTAAACAAGTTGGTTCTGTTCTGTGATGTTCAATAGCATTAAAGTTACAAAAAATACCAACAGGGTGCAGCACTATTATTTCTTTTACATTTATGACAACAGCTAATTTGCAACCAAAAGGTGAGTGAGCGTAGCGAACGAACTTCAACCTGGAGGCGAGTTAGCGTAGCGAACGAGCTAACCTGAAGGCAAGTGAGCGCAGCGAACGAGCTCCAACCTAAAGGTGAGTGAGCGTAGCGAACGAGCTCCAACCTAAAGGTGAGTGAGCGTAGCGAACGAGCTCCAACCTAAAGGTGAGTGAGCGTAGCGAACAAACTTCAACCAGGACGTGATTGAGCCATGCGAACGAGATAATCTTGAAAATTAAGAAGTTAAACGGGGCAAAGCCCGCGGGTTACAGCTAGTTTCATTATAATTATGGGAAAGGTAGAGGGTACAACATTGGGTCTGACAGCTGATAGAGAGTTAATATTACTTAGGTAACATCATCTGATTAATCATTAACTGAATTATCACCATTAACTGAATTATCATTAACTTAATCTGCTTCATCTCTAGATGGTAGTAAAATAAAATACCAGCTATTAAGAACATTATTTATCACATACTAGCTGCTGCACCCGTGCTTTGCAACCGGGGGGAAAGAAATAATAATAGTACTGTACTGCACTCTGTTGTTAACCCTTGTAACCTTAAATGCCATTGATCATCATGGAGCCCATCTTGTTGGTTTATTTAAACAGTGGTCAATGTTCTCCGATACTTTTTGAATATAAATACCCAACCCATAAGGTAAACATGGGAAACTTCACAGCCACTAAGGTGGACCCCAAAGGGGTTCAAGAATGGGAAATGGACAGAATCCGCCTTGGGGATGTATAGAACAACTTCCAAAGGGGGTTTTTTTTGTAACATTTATTTAACCAAAATTCTTTCAAAATCCCTGACATGGGTACCAGTAAGACGGCCCCAGGGCTAAGTGCTCAACGTAATCACGAAATGGGGTGTGTATCCATCTATTCCATGAAGTTCTACATGTATGTACCAAGTTTCATGACCATCGGTCCAGCGTTGTTTGAGTTTATCACTGCCAAATATACAAACAAATATACATACCAACATCCTCTTTTATACTTATAGATTACTTTTCCAATTAGTCATTCTTGAATGAACAACACATCCCCAAGGTTTGGTTTAACTTTTATATCAATTTATAATTCATGAATTTAATGAGCCAACAAGAGGTGCTGTAGTCAATAAGAGTACCTAGAGTGCTAAGAATAGCCAATAGGAGAGCCTAATGGTCAATGTCAATATTTAATAAGCGAAAATGCAACCTTGGACCAACAAGAGTAAATAAGTACACCCAACATTATTCTTACGAGATTTCAAATTTTGTCATCATACTACGTAACTCACTATGCTACTACCATCGAAGTATATAACACAACGCTACTACATTTATCATAACTAGTTGCATTAACAGCGATACAAGTAATCACGTTCAATATTTTGCTGAAACTTTATTTCATGAGGTATTGGCATTACCTAAATTAATTAATTTATAAACTGAAAAAATTATATATTTATCTAAAGCTAAATATAATGGTATGTTTGTTTAATCAGTAAATAATTCATACAACATAAATTGTATGATAAAAAGGATGGACAGTAAAATTAAATGACAATTAATTCGAGTAATAAATTGTAGTGAGCAAGCTAATCTAGGAGTTGAGCTCGGGGCTTCGGAGTTTGAGGTCCTGGGTTCAAATCACACCAATTTCCCATGGATTTATCGATGTGATAATGCCATGTCCCTCTAGGATTAGCCTGAAGTAATGTATAAACAGTTCTGGGCTAGAACCTAGTGTCCTAGGATGTGAAGTAAAAGTAATACATTCAGAAAAAGACCAAGAAAAGGAAGTGTTCAATGTATAAACACATTATTTATGAAAGATTTTAAAAAAGAATTGGACAGATTAACACTATATACTTTAAGCAATATTACAGTAAGCTATTATCAAATTTGCACACAACGGGAAAATCTACTGTTTAGTTCAAATCTAAAATAAAAAGAATAATGGGTTAGGGAAAATCTATTCTGATTCATTTGATAACCAAGCAACACCTAAATCTCGTAACCTTTTAAAAGACAATTCTGAGAGTCAACATTGAGTTTCTGATTTCTTAACATAGCTTCAGGTGTTTTGTTATAAAGAGGTCGCCCAATTGATTTTTATGCACAGCTGTTTTACCATAAACCAAAATAGCCTACATAAATTGTATTGTTATTTTTATTGTTGTAACGAAAATAAAAAAGAAGAATGGTGGTTATTATTATCCCTTTGAATATCACTTTTTTAAAGGAGTAAATTTAAAAACTTAGGAATTTCCACTGTATTTTAAAAACAAACAATATTGACAAAGAATAATTAGAAATGAGCAGAGGTTTGAATGAAATAAAAGTCCGTTGTCGTTTAAATTAATATTTTCTATAAGGTAATGAGCACGTGGTGGCGCGGGAGTGGCGCCTGCGCGGTGTGTGGTGTGTGGGGGTGGGAGCGCCAGTCGATGGTTGCCGTGCCGTGTCAGTACTCAGTAGTGTCGGTGTCAGTGTTGTAGTGTGGCCAGTGTTGCCGGGACTGTGTTGTGACGATGCTGCCTGTAGCCGCGGTGTTGCTGTTTGTAGCCCTAGCCTCCTCCAACTCTACGTCTCCCCCCGACCCACAACCTACAGTCACCCCGTGTGACAAACTAGCCACCTACCGTGTCGTGCTGCACACCTTCTGGACTAGGGATCTGTTCCCCAAACACTACCCCGAGTGGCGACCGCCGGCTCAGTGGAGCAAACTCATAGGTAGGTCACTGCCACAACACATATCCTACTGCTATAAAGGGGGAGTTCATAAAACTCTTCTATTTTCCTTGATATTTTTGAATCAACATGTGAAGACTATATATTACGAATAATATAACTCTTTAGTGACATTACAATGTATAAATACATTCAAAAGAAAACTCTCAATGAATGTCAGTAGAAAAATGGGAGTATATTTTAATATTTTTAAGTTGACCAACAATGCTAAATACATTTAATTGTTTTTTTTTTGTAAATTGATAAGGAAATCCTACTGAAGGCTTGGTATTAAAACCTTTATTTTGAACATGTTCCGTTTATCCCTTTTTATTAAAACCAGAAAAAAGGTCGAAATAAAATAAGTAATATGTAATTAATTACTTTTATTTGTATTAAATGTTACAGTGAACAATTTGAATTATTTGTTGTTATAGAATAGATTACATTTTTGTATTATATTCCATGACAAGAAAGCTATTTCATTTTAACCTAGAGAATACGTCTAAATACTCGTAGTAAAAATAATGTAACTAGTAAATAGAATACAGTAAAGAGAGATAGTATTTGTCATCACATACTAAACCTATATGTATTAATCTAAGACTCATAATTTTTTGAATTTGATTTATGAAAATTTAAGGTGGGTAATTTTAAATCAATAAATGAAATTAAAAAAACTGAAAAACCAAGTTGGTCATTATAGATTGGGTTTATTGATGTGATTGTGATTAACGTTGCTGTTTAATTATATTACTTGTGGATTTGTCAGTGGTTATTAATAAAGTCCCGTTAGATATTTAGAATAAAATATTCACGTTAATACACACTGTAACTTAATATTTCCGCTGTTCCTATTTTGATACCAATGTTTATCAAGGAGCTGTATTCAGTTGGCACTGTTTATATTACTAGTGGTATCGTATTGGTTTTTACTATGGTAAAAAATTAATACTAAAATACCATAGGTTTATTGCTAGAGAAATATTTCCGAACAAAATAAATCTACGAAATAAAACAGTACTTGAACTTCAAAAGTATGCAAGTATTTTCTATCGAACATTTAAATCGTTTCCAATAACAGAAATTCCAGAAAACATCGCCAAAGCATTCAATTAAAGTGACTTAACAAGTTTACCAAAGCTGAATGTTATTGTTTAGTCGTGTTTTGTTTGACTTGTATACATTGGCTCTTAAGTTTATGTTCAGTAAATCTCTAATGTATATATTCGGTATGAAGATTACCGATCAATTCTTCTCCCAGATATTTGTATTTATTCCGAATACCTACAACCAAAGTCTCAACTTTATTTGTATCCTCTCAAATACTACTTGAACATCAACTTCACCCTGCATATCAACACCTGCAACATTTTTGTATTATCCTGTAAAGGAAATTGATTACAAATTAAACAACTTTTTAAAATATCATATAAATGTATTATATAAATTACAATACATAATAAATAATAATAACATACATAATATACATAAATACATAATAATTTATAATACATTATATAAATGTATGTACATTCAAAAGGAAACTCGATGAATGTTAGTAGATCAATGCTTCTGCCTTTTTTTTTTACTAAAGGAGTATGTTTTAATAATTCAATATACGCCTGATGAATGAAGTAAAGCAAGTAAACGTTTATATAGGTAATTTACTGCCTTCAAGATCAGCTGATCTTTGGTATGAAATGCAACACATTGTTTAGGTAATGCTTTTTAAGCCATTTAATGAGGCTTTTTAGTTCTCTATGTTTTTATTACTTGAATAAAGAAAGGTCCTCTTTGATCGAGCAATTACCTTTATAACCGCTATTAAAAAAATAAAGATATAATGCTTATTAATCTTATTAGGATACGTCAATGTGGTTTAGGAATTAAAAAAACAAACAATTTGTTTTCACTTTTTTCATACTTTTTATGTGTGATATTAATGTGTAATATGAATGAAAACATATCCAATGTTATATTTACTTAAAACAGCATATTTATATAATTTTAAAAGAAAATCACGACATCGTTCTACCACAGGACTTTTATTTAGGCTATCTGAATGACTCTTTGAGCGGAGCGAGCGAAGCGAGCGAAGCTCTTATACGTCGACTCTTATGCATTTCGTAATACGCAAACTCCTCCTAGACGGATGAATCAATCGTTTTCAAATTTTGCATGGTGATAGAGACCATATCGATGAGTGCCAACATCTATATGGCGTTAAAAAAGTCTCTCAGGAATCCGCCCCACTGGGTCTCAAAGTTTCAATGTAATCCTTATGGAAGAAGGATTTGACACATAAACAAAAACATATGATCAGCTGTTGACTTTTGAATGCAGTAGAAAAGAAATAGCTGATAGCATTAATCCACAGATATTAGAACAGAAACGGTATGGATCATAAATATAATCAAATGACGACACTAGCTTGAGGTCCGTGACGTGGGAAGTGGTGAAGGAAGTAGTAAAGGAGAGCAGTCTGGAGTGTGGAAACTGTTTATGACGATTAGATTTAGGTATCTGCATTCCTAAAATTTTATAGGAAGGGAGGAAAACTGGTCCGCGACGTAGGAAGTGGTAAAGGAAGTAGTCAAGGCGAGCTGTCCAGAGTGTGGGGACTGTTTATAACGATTAGATAAAGGTAATATTAAAGGCATTCCTAAAATTCTATTGGAAGGGAGGAAAAGGGGTCCGCGACGTAGGAATTGGTGAAGGAAATAGTCAAGGCGAGCTGTAGGGAGTGTGGACTGTTTATGACGATTATAAAGGTATCTGCAATCCTAAAATGCTATTAGAAGGGAAGGAAACAGGTTCGCGACGTAGGAAGTGGTGAAGGAAGTAGTAAAGGCGAGCTGTTCGGGATATGGAATCTGTTTATGACCCTTAGATAAAGGTATTTGCAATCCTAAAATGCTATGGGAAGGGTGGAAAACAGGTCCGCGACGTAGGAAGTGATGAATGAAGTAGTCAAGGCGAGCTGTCCGGAGTGTGGAAACTGTTTATGACGATTAGATTAAGGTATCTACAAACTTAAAATGCTATGAGAAGGGAGAAAACAGGTCCGTGACGTAGAAAGTGGTGAAGGAAGTAGTAAAGGCGAGTTGTCTGGAGTGTTGGATCTGTTTATGATCAATAGCTTAAGGTATATACAAACCTAAAATGCTATGGGAAGGGAGGAAAACAGGTCCGCGACGTATGAAGTGGTGAAGGAAGTAGTCAAGGCGAGCTGTCCGGAGTGTGGAAACTGTTTATGACGATTAGATAAAGGTAATATTAAAGGCATTCCTAAAATTCTATGGAAATGGAGGAAAAGGGGTCCGAGACGTTGGAATTGGTGAAGGAAGTAGTAAAGGCGAGCTGTTCGGGGTATGGAATCTGTTTATGACCATTAGATTAAGGTATTTGCAAACCTAAAATGCTATAGGAAGGGAGGAAAAGGGGTCTGCGACGTAGGAAGTGGTGAAGGAAGTAGTCAAGGCAAGCTGTCCGGAGTGTGGAAACTGTTCATGACGATTGGATTAAGGTATCTACAAACCTAAAATGCTATGGGAAGGGAGGAAAACAGGTCCGTGACGAAGGAAGTGGTGAATGAAGTAGTAAAGGCGAGTTGTCTGGAGTGTTGGATCTGTTTATGACCAATAGATTAAGGTATCTACAAACCTAAAATGCTATGGGAAGGGAGGAAAACAGGTCCGCGACGTATGAAGTGGCGGAGGAAGTAGTCAAGGCGAGCTGTCCGGAGTGTGGAAACTGTTTATGACGATTAGATAAAGGTATCTACAAACCTAAAATGTTATGGGAAGGGAGGTAAACAGGTCTGTGACGTAGAAAGTGACGAAGGAAGTAGTAAAGGCGAGTTTTTTGGAGTGTGGCAACTGTTTATGACGATTAGTTTAAGGTATCTGTAATCCTAAAATGTTATGGAAAGGGAGGGAAACGGGTCGTGACGTAGGAAGTGGTGAAGGAAGTAGTGAAGGAGAGTTGTCCGGAGTTTGGGAACTGTTTATGACGATTAGATTAAGGTATCTGCAATCCGAAAATGCTATGGAAAGGGAGGGAAACAGGTCCGTGACGTAGGAGGTGGTGAAGGAAGCAGTAAATGTGAGCTGTCCGGAGTGAGGGAACTGATTATGCCGATTAGATTAAGGTATATGCAATCCTAAAATGCTATGGAAAGGGAGGGAATCAGGTCGGTGACGTATGAAGTTGCGAAGGAAGTAGTAAAAGAAATGTTGTTCAGAGTGTGGGATATGTTTATAACCAATAGATTAAGGTATTTGCAATCCAATAATGCTAAGGGTAGGGAGGGAAACAGGTCCGAGACGTAGGAAGTGGTGAAGGAAGTAGTCAAGGCGAGCTTTTCGGAGTGTGGGAACTGTTTATGATGATTAGATTAAGGTATCTACAATCTTAAAATTCTATGGGAATAGAGAGAAACAGGCCCGCGACGTAAGAAGAGGTGAAGGAAGTAGTAAGGTGAGCAGTGTGGAGTGTGGGAACTGGGAACCCTTTGTAGCAGTTAGATTAACTTATCTGCAATGCTGAAATGCTATGAGAAGGGATGGAAGCATGCCCACGACATAGAAAATGGCGAAAGAAGTAGTAAAGGCTAGAGGTGTGAAGTGTGGGCAATGTTTGTGGCAATTATATTAACGTATCTAAAATACTAAAATGCTATGGAAAGTGATGAAAACAGGTCCACGATGTAGGAAGTAGTAAAGTATGAGCATAATGTGAGAACCGTCTGTGGCAGTTAGATTAATGTATCTTCAATCCTAAAATGCTAAGAGAAGAGAAGGAAACAGGCCCAACGACGTAGGAAGTGGTGAAGGAAGTTTTAAAGGCTGGCAGTGGAGAGTGGGGGAACCGTTTGGGCAGTTAGATAAATGTATCTAATACCATTATATAGTCAATATACCAATATATAGTCAATTCTAATACTTAAATGCTACGAGAAGGGAAGGAAACAGGTCTATGGCGTAGGAAATGGTGAAGGA